TGACAACCAAAATGTTTCAATGTTACATTGAAACGTTAAGGTTGCTTTATATGTTTATGCTAACAATGTAAAAGCCTTCAAAAAGTCTTCTGCCCTGATCATATACATGGCTGAAAAATCTAGAAATTGTTCACATCAGCACTATGAATACTGCACAGAATCTGGCTGCCTTACACACTGAGAATGAAAAGATGGACCCCACATCCAAAACATTGGAGCCCACTGCTGCACTGACGGCTTCAATTATCTTTCTCTCTGGGATCTGCTGTTCTGCTTCCTGGAGCCTAAGTCATTCAAAATGATGCATGCCTAAAGCTTTCCTCTTGTGATTTTTTTCAGAGAATGTTACTTCAAATTTAGATGGGGGACTTTAGTCAGCTGAGCAATGCTTTGTAGCCTGCATTAATCAAAATCAGTCCTTAACTCGTAAAAGCAAATATAAAGGACTTCTCATGATGTCTTTAAAGTAAAGGTATAACAATAATAAAGTTAAGAGATATAACTTTCTTTTTTCCTTCCTTGTGCAAATAGTCTGGAAACTTCTCAGCTGTCACTGTCCCAAGCCTGGGAATCATTTGCCTCTGAAATTTTTGTACGTAAATGCATAAGACAGGAGGGAGCTAAACCTTGAAGTAGGCTGCGAAGGGCTTACATTTTAGTCAGTCAAAAACTGGGTGAAGTATGTCTAACTTGAATTATGTCCTGAGCTGAAGAGAAAGGAAAAAAACAGTGTGTATTCTAGCAAACAAGAGTAAAAAATCATCAATTCTGGTATTTGCTGAATTGAGAGGATTTAATTCTTAAGATGAGGAAAAGAAATCCAATACCCTCAGCGCTCCAAGTTTGTTGTTGGTATATAAGAAGCTTTGAGTGCTGCCAGGAAGTTATGTCAAAGATGAAATGAAGATAATTAAACTCAGCTATCCAGCTGACTTCAGGAGTAGCCCTTGAGGTTTTGCATCCTTTTCCTTCTGTTACAGGTATGGAATCTGTAAGGTCTCTTTTTAATGTAAGTATTTGTCCAAGTTGTGTGGTTTTACTTTCACACAAAACTTAGTGTTTAGCTTTAGGATCTGGTCCTTTTCATTACCTACAGTATAACAAAAAGCTGCACATAGTTGCAATGCCATAAATAAAGACAGGTGGAAGATGATAGTCAAGATTCCTGTAGCTAAATCTCATAAGTGTACAGCTTGAGTAAGCAACATCAACAGTAACCATGCTAAAGAATCCATGGTTTGCTTTTCTGACACTTCTTGGTATTTTCCTTTGTGAGAAGAGTAGCTGAATAAAGCTTTGATTCTGTGAAAAAGGAAACAGGCATGTTATTATGTTTTCTCCTGGTAAAATGAACTTTTGGAGTCCTGGTGTTCTGTGGTTTATTTTATATTGGACAGGTTCAGGGAACTGTAAAAATAAAGCATTTTTCATCCAAAATAAGATTGTTACAACACACTTGTTTTAAAACCACGTTGCTAATGGTATTTGTGATTCTATCATGTCAGTGGACTACTGCTTCTGGGATTATGGCATATATAATTTCTTCTTTATAAGTACATGAAATGCAGGTGTCACTACTAACTGCAGTATCTGTTGCTATCATTATAAGACATTATAGGTGCACATGTAAAGCTAATGATACTGCACTAGGAGAGAAGGGTCTTTAATATTCTTAACATTTTTAAAGATGTAATTATGAAATTAGGTAGTTTATATCTGACTTGGCACTGAAATGTCAAGGGCAAGACTCACCGGCTACTTTGGGAAGTTTACTTCTCCTTTAGATGGTATTTAAAAGACAGTTGTATGAGTTTTAATTAGGTATGGTATTAAAAAGTGTTTAAATCTTCTATTCTGCAATTGAGGGAAAAGAGATCATTTAAATCATAAAAGGGTATCTTTCTCAAAGGAATTACTGTGGACTATGTAACTATCTGCAAGCCAACCAGAATTCCTAGTTCTGTGGTGTCAAAAGATTGATGCACTTGACTAATTAGGAAGCTGGTTGGGACTGGTGCCAGTCATCTGCAGCAGCTTGTGAAAGCCGATTTAAAGGCCCCTTAGGAAGTGTTAATATCGAACAGTATTTGTGACTCTTGTACTGGCATGGTAGCAACATTGTATACAGCTCTCCCAAGGTAATTTAAAAGATTTCTCACATACTGCATGGTATACTCATTTCTTAATCTTCCCATCATAGGCACTTGGACAACATTATTAATAGTTGGGTACTGATAGTTATCTGCATAACTTAGCAGCCGTTGTCACAGTCAGCTGCTTATATAGGTATCAGAAACCAGAATTTGGAGCCTACTGAAGTTGTACAAGTTTGAAAACCATGCTTTCTACATGTTTTGGGTACAGAGATTGTTAAGTATGTGCTTTTATTTGCCGTGGTTAGCTTGTTTCAATACATCCATGTATACAGAGCAGCTATTAGATGAGTTTTTTTCATTCAAGTTTCAATCTTATGCAATTTATTCTTCTAATACTGTTTTGCATGTCAATGGAAGCACTAATCTATAATCCACTTTGTGACTACCAGAATATTTCTGATAAGTGTGAAAAACAGATAGTGCATGTAAATGTTACAGATTTACTCCAAGAAGTTGTGGGTTTGCAATATTTCTGTTGCATTATTTTAAATCTTATTTTTTAAAAAATTATTTGATTTGCCTTTTATATTTATAAGGGTTTTTTATACTGAAAATTGTTAAGTTTTTGAAATTACTATGAAATCTGTAGTAGTCTTGGACAGACTTAAGAGGAAACAGATGACATGCTGAAATAGCATTGAAATTTCTATTCTGTTATTCCTATTTCCTAAAATAAAACTTATTAACTCTTTTCCATAGACATGAACGGTATCATTTTGGTGACTGTGATACTATTCAGTAGTGTTTGAATTGGCATTACCTAAAATGCTTATAAGCTTTCCTCCAGCATTTATGTTTTTCATGTTTGTTAATGTAACTAATGTCTTGGCTCAAAATTTCTTCAGGCATGTTGGTTTGAAACTATTCACTGACTATATTCATTCTAGACATTAGTATTTTATAGATTTGCATGACTTCAGATGAAGAAAGTTAAACAAGTAACAAAAAACCCCCTACCAAACCAACAAGAAAAAAAGACACCACAAAAAATCAACCCCAAACCAAAAACAAAACCAAAAAAAAACAAAATCCAAACTTGAACAAAAAAATAGGAAGCCAAAGACATAGTCTGAGTGATTTTTTATAAGGTGTGTTCCAAGCCCTACTAATAAGTGTGATAGTCCATTAGTCATAAGAGAGCAAACTCCAGTGTAATAAATAAAGCATGTTATAGCAAACACAAAGAAAAATAGAAAACATTCTATATTTCAGTCTTCATGTTTATTCTATACCTGCCATAAATATAAATGTTAGGCAAAATTATTATTTATTTGCTAATTTTCACTTATTTGGTTTTGTATGTAGCACTTTTGTCTAAGATTGAAAGCTAGTCTGGTAGTGCAGAGTATAGAGAAAGGAGAAGAACTAAGGGTTACTGTTTCCTGGATAAAAGCTGGCTGGATGGCTGAGCCCAGAGAGTGGTGGTGAGTAGAGTTACATCCAGCTGATGGCTGGCCATGAGTAGCCCTCCACAGGGCTCAGTGTTAGGCCCTGTCCTGTTTAGTATTTTTCAGTAATCTGGATGAGGGAATTGAGTGTCCCCTCAGTCAGTTTGCAGATGACACCAAGCTGGGTGACAGCTGTTGAATTGCTGGAGGACAGAAAGGCTCTGCAGGACGATCTGAACAAACTAGATCAGTGGACTGAGGCCAGCTGTATGAGGTTCAACAAAGCCACTGGTGGGTCCTGAATGTGGGTCACAGCAATCCCCTGCAGGCTGAAGGCAGAGTGGCTGAAAAGCTGCCCCGTGGAAAAGGCCCTGGGGGTGTCGATTGACAGCAGCTGAAAGTGAGCCAGTATGTGCTCAGGTGGCCAATAAGGCCACTGGCACCCTGGTTTGTGTCAGCAGGACCAGGGCAGTGATTGTCCCCCTGTACTCAGCATCTTGTTATATGCAGCAGGTGGTTTAGATCCTGCTTTGCATATTCACTCTTAGCGAAAACTGCTGACTCTATCCAAGAGGTGTGTTGATCTAGGGAGTTTTGCCCAGTGGGGTATAATGAGATTTCTATGATGGAATTCTTTATTCCTCCATGGAGGTTTTTTTGTTGTATAGTTAATCCCTGGGCTCTGTTCTTTGTCCTCCCGTGCACACATACAATGGGGTAACAAGGTTAAAAAATAGAACACTTTCTGATGTGTTTATTAACGGAAGTAAAAGGAGAGTGTTTAATACTTGCATTTGGTTACCATCTCAGAGTAACATTCATAATTCTTTTGGGGGTTATTCTGCACCTGTGTGTATTATTAGGGATTATAAGCATATAATTTGACGAGTAGAATTTTCCTGAACTACATCAATTATTTATTATTGGCCAGAGGTTATTAAATGTGAACGGAAAATGGCTTTTGATTAAAGCTACCTATGGATATCACTATATCCTATCCAGTCCAATACTGTTCACTCTGCTCCCTGCTGAGAAACAATTTTAACTTTTTATCACAATAACTGAATGGTCTTTTGTCAGATGTAACAAATCATATAAAGGACAGCTCTCGAAAGCTGACATGAGACTGATTATTTGCAGTTGTAGTAGGGTACTAAAATGAAAATATGAGTTAAATGACATTTTGCTTAAAACTGTGCTTGACTCTCCATATAGAGAAAGAGGAATGTGAAATGAGTGGAATAGAATTTGGTCTAGTTCGGTCTCTAGAAAACCAAATCTATTGTAGTTAATTGCAAGAGAGCAATTTGTAAATATTAAAGTACTGGTCAAAGTTTGAAATGATTTATTTTAATAATAATACTGGTATCCATTATTATTGGTTTTTGTTGATGTTATTCTTTATGCTTTGATATTGCTATGGTAACCAAGAGGGTTCTTTCTTTTTCCTTTGCAGAAGGTGAGGAGACTGGAGTGATGGATAGCCTGTTGGAGGCCTTGCAGTCAGGTGCAGCTTTTCGAGACCGAAGGAAAAGGACACCAAGGTCCAGAGGTGAATATTCTATTTTAGATTTTATTTTCCAGAGAAAGTTAAAAGCATTCAGTGCTCTGGAATTTAGATACTGTCAGATTTAATTCGTTAGTACAATGAATTTTCAGGGATGTTCAGACTGTTGCTTATGTCAATAAGACTGGAAATTAATGTACTGAACTTTTTATAGCCAGATCATTATGACAAGACTTTTCAATACAGCCAAATGTACTTTAACTTTTTAGGTTTAATAGTTGTATGGGGGAAATGACAGTTATCTTGCTCCATAAGTGAGTCTGAGTCCGGGATATAACTGTCATTTATTTCAAGAAATACCTAACTTGTAATTGTTAAATTCCTAAACTTCTGCTTTGTCATCTTGTAAAAGCTACTCTGGTAGCTTTCAAACAGGTGTTTCATTTCCATTGTTTCTTTGCTTTTGCAGACACACCACAAAATCTCAGTCCAACCACACAGCGGCCTGTGCTGAAAGCTTGTAACCATGGTAATGAACCATATTCATGAATTGCATGCACTTCTTAGCTTAGCTTATGTAGTTGATCTGTGCTTTCAAAACTGCTGTGATTATTTTTTTCAGTTTTGTGCATTAGTGGAGTACTAAACCATATTGGAACTTGCTTTTTAAGAATCATCTGAATATTACAACCTGAAACTATACTTACTGATTCCTCTGCAAAGCTCTTCTATCTTTTGTGGAATTTTTATTTATTTAAATTTTGATTATGTTTTTAAATTGTAGTACTTTTAAAATCCTTAAGAATCATTATGCAAGTTTTTTAGCTTTCATGGAATTGTAATAGAAAGCAGAGATTGTGTAATGTTTCAAGTGTTAGTTAATAAGTGCCTATTATACTGAATCTGAGAACTTTTGGCATTCATTCTGTGTTTCTTTGTCTTGGTTTTCTTGGTGCTATAGGTGGAATGGTTTAAGCTATTGTTTATCAGTATTAATTCAAAAGGAGTGTTGACTCAATGAGGATATAGTAGATGTTTATTTGTAAACTGCTAAACTATCTCACTGTGATCAGTAGGACTTGTTCTTGCACGTTTCAGTGCAGTGTGGGTGCCTGTTAGCTTTGTTAGATAGTCTACAGAATATTGCTATATTGACTGTGTTTTAATTAAGCTTGAGGAGTCCAGAGTGAATCAGTTACTCATGACTAGTGCTGTCAGGAAAAAGTTTATATCTGTAGTCCTTCTGTTGAAGAGAAAGTTGAATAATGGGACGAAAAAGATCTTCTTTGTTAGTTTTTAAAGCAGATTGCACTATTCTTCTAATATTTATATGCACTGCAGGTTTTATGAAGCAGATGTTGATTATATTTATGAAGCAGAATTGATTATATTAATTTTACCTCATATGTAAGTGTTTATTTCTCTAAGTAAGTGTAGCAAAAAAAAATCCCAAACCTGTTCAATTTGGCAAATAAAAACAAAATTGAAGAAAATAGAGCTGAAAGGACAGTTTGTCGATAATTACTGAAATTGGATCAAAGAGAAATCAAGTATATTTGACAGGTACTTGTCTAGCACATAGCATATCGATATTTAAGTAATGACTATAGAGCACATCTGAATTTATCCTCTAAGTGGTTCTGCTTGTAAGAGCATTCATGTTGGTACTGCTCGTATTGGATATTGCTCTTACTGTTCTTATCAGCACATTCCATCTAGGTAGCTGTCTGTAGACAGACTTGTAGCTTCCAGTTTTCAAACTTAACTGCCTTTGGTCAAACATTATGGCCATGTTACAGATTAAAAAACAAAACAACAAAAAAAACCACTCACACTCACCAAAATTTTAATGCTGAAAAATCTTAGTCTAAACCATGGATGGATTTGTACAGCAGATGGATATAATTTGGTGCTAAAGTCTGAAGTTCAGATATCTAATTTGGAGAGAAGAGTAAAAGTAAACTCTTGGATCTTTTGTTGTTTTTACCAAAGTCAGTTTTTCCATAGAACATTTTGAGAAAGTCTCATTCTAAGACATTTTAAAATGAATTCAATGTTTCTTTTACTTGTCTTTTTGGTTGAGAAACAGGCTAGTACAGATCCGAGCTTGATTTTAAGGAATGAGCATGTTTTTGATTTGTTGACACTTGTCACAATGTCTGTGTTACATCTTACTATCTTGAGCCAAATAGAGTACCAAACCTGGTGTAGATTATGATGAGTTCAGAGCCTTTTTTTTCCTTTTTAGTAAAAGTATATGGTCATTTAAGTTACTTACTGTCTAGAATGAATGCTAGACTCTGAATGTCAAATTCAATTTTGCATAATAATAATATTAATAACCTTTAAAAAGTTAATGTGGTCAGTCAAGATAGGAATTATAATGATAAAGTTTCTTTAATTTTCTGAGTTCAACAATGTATGTCAGTACTGTTCTCTGTATCATTGTTTTCTTGAACTTTGATGCTCAATAGCTTGTTCTTTCTATCTATATGTGTATAGTAAGTGATAAATGCTCTATACAGTGGTCTATTATGTATATACCATACAAGCAAGAAGTCTGTGGCTTCAGAAAAACTGGGATATATTATTGGACAGAAGTATTGGCTTGGTTGTTCCTAATTTGCTATTTTTTTTTCCAGCCCAAAACTTCAAATGGATGCCAAATTTTATATCATAGGAAAAAAAAACCCCATCTTGCTGTAAAGCTAAAATATGGGGAGATTGCTGAAATTCCTTAAGTAGCAATTCAAGCACTTTCCATGTTTGCTTCTGTACTGGTTTTGGCTGTTTGGGTTGGCTTGTTACTGGTTTGTTTACTGTTTATTCTGCTGAGACTGACAGATTCATTTATAGTAGATATATTCTATTAATGCACACTTCAAATTCATACCTAGGATTCATCATACAGTCAAAAAGAATTACAAGCCATGACTTGAAGTGGCTGTCCTGAATCCTTTAGAGTGGAGTAATCTCTGTTGAGCAGGTGCCATCAAGTTCTAACTAATCTTGTCTGTTTCAAAACACAACCAACCAAATTTTAAAAAGTCTAGTTTCATCCTTCTGATTAAAGATATTTCTCTTAAAAAAGTGGTAACCAAATCAAATCCAAGCATAAATAGTGTTATAACCCCAAGCTGGCAATTAAGTGCCTCACAGCCACACACTCTGTCTTCCCTGGTGGGATGGAAATAGGTAAAGCTCATGGGTTGAGAAAAGAACAGTGTAATAATTGAAATAGGGTAATGATAAGAATACTACTACTACTACTACTAAAAATAATAATAATGAGGAAGAGTAAAAAGAGGGAGGGAGAGGAATGAAACACAAGAGAAACAAGTGATACACAATGCAATTGCTCACCACTGTGGGCTAATGCTGAGCCACTCTCTTCCTAGCAATCAACATGTCCTGACCAACTTCCTCAGTTTGCACGCTGAGCCTGATGCCATGTGGAATGGAGAATCCCTTTGGCTAGTTCAGGCCAAGCTGTGCTCCCCCCCAGTTTATTGTGCCTCTGCCCACTGAGCAGGGCACGTGCAGAGCATGTGAACATCCCAGAGCATGGGATCCTGAAAATTCTTGACTTAGGCACTGCTGAGCAACAACTAAAACATTGGTATGTTACCAACATTCTTCATAGACTCAGTTCAAAACAGAGCACTGTACCAGCTCCTAGGAAGGGAATTAAATCTATCCCACACAAACACAAGACAGGAAACTGGTTCCATGTCTCATGAGGCATGACAAGGGGGAGAAATACAGCCTGAGTGCACACTTTCTCCATAGCTGTCATATAAATGGAAGCAGGAAGGAAATTTTTCTAACCATTGCCAGTGTCACCCTCAGTACAATGCTACACAAGGTATCAAACTAGCATTTGCTTTTCAGGCTTAGCCAAACCCTGTGAAACAAAATAATACAGAGGAGCCAGCCAACACTGCTCAGGTCTAGAACTGGGAACTGGAATTGCTTCCTTTAACTAAATAGACTACTTAAGGAAAAAAAAAGAGCAATAATAAATTTAGTGAAATGCTGGCTAATGTGTGGGCTGTTTATCTCTTTGTGATCTGTTGAGCTCCCCTGAAACCTCTGGTAGTGTTCAGCTTGTACTTCTAGTTAAAAAAGACTGCTTGTTCTCATGCTACATTCCATGGTAGCCAAATGTGTGTTATTTTATTTTCAATCCTACTGCTTTCTTCTGTTTTTGAACAGATTGCCTCTTTCTAACCTGATATGTGTTTAAAAAAACGTGTTTAAAAAAAGATTGGATGTGGCACTTGGTGCTATGGTTTAGTTGAGGTGTTAGGGTATGGGTTGGACTCAATGATCTTGAAAGGCTCTTCCAACTTTGTGCTTCTATGATATGTAGGTTTTGTCAAGTTTAAATCTGCTCTAATTGTGTGACCAGAATTACCAGTTGTATTTTTAATGCTTGTGACAAGGCCCATCAAGTCACAATATTTCTTGTGGAGAAGAATTCCTGCTGCATGACTAACAGAAGTAATATACATTAAGAATTGCGAAGTCTTAGAAGTGTTTTAATGCCTTAAGAATGCAAGTATGATACACTAGATTTTAATGGATATAGATATGATTGGTATATTTCATTCCCATTCATAGTGGTTTTTATTTTTAAATTACCTACTGAATTACATCTATGTGCAAAACTATGTGTTAATGTTACAGTTTGCTTTAACTGCAAAGGACCACGGACTGCAGTAAGTATTGTGTTACATGCTTTTGCTGTAATTCCAATTCAGAGCACTGTTTGACACAAGCAAAGTATTGGTATAGTTTTAGTGGTGTGCTTAGGATTCAATAACATCTAACAGAGGAGCTCTTTTATTTTATTTAGGAAGCAGAAGAAAGCACGTAATTTTCAGCAATCAGGATGTTGCACATTAGAAGATCATTTCAAGCAGCTAATAGCTGTGGCTGATCTGAGTTTTTCAGTTGTTTACAACAAGAGTCAAGGCATATTTGCAGCTTGTATGTTTACTTCAAACTACTAAAGTCCAGATACATGCAGCAGCATATCCAAGGCAGGGCAGAGCCCACTGCAGCACAGAAAGCTGCATTATTCTGTGACCAAGTTTTTGGTCAGGTTTTGCAGCCTGCATCAAGTTCTCTGCTGCTATGGCTACACATTTATTTGCTGTAGCATTAGCCAAGCTAATGCTACCTGAATTGCATGAATACAAATTTGAGATGCAGCTTTGATTGCATGTAAACGCATACCTCAAATGCAGCAGAAAGAATTTATCTTTACAAGTTGATCATATTAAAAATGTTGTGAGTAAAGAAAAGCTATAATAAAATGCAAGCAAAAAATACAGATTGCTTTTTGAGACTGCAGAGCTTGAAAGAAATCTTTCTGTCACAATCAGTAATTGCATTGTGGACAACATTTCTAAAGGTGACAAAAAGGTCTTGTTTCTATATTGAGATCAAACTTCCATTGTAAGAGATTGTAATTATTACAGCTTTTTGTTCAGTAAATCTATACACAATAGAATAATTTTCATG